AAAGCAACCGATTGTTGCTGTTCGCGCCGCCACTACTGCTGTCGCTCCAGCGCCACCGAAACAATATGCAGGAACTCTTCCCAAGTGCAACAAGTGTAACTACCACCATAACGGTGCTTGTCGAGAGTTTCACTGCAATAACTGTAACAAAAAGGGCACACTGCCCGATTCTGTAGAGCGACTACCCAACCCGCCACACAAGTCGCTACGACCGCCAACACTGGAGCAAGCCAAGCCTGCTATGGGTGCGGTGAAACAGGACACTTCAGGAGGAACTGCCCCAAGGCACGAGCCCCTAATGCTGGGGGTGTAGGGAGAGTCCTAACTTTAGGGCAGGGTGAAGCAGTCAAGGATCCCTCCGTGGTTACTGGTACGTTCCTCCTCAATAACTCTTATGCATGCGTACTTTTCGATAGTGGGGCAGAAAGAGTTTCATAAGTCACCAATTCAAACATATACTTAAACAAAATTCTCAACCACTAGAAGATTCTTACATCGTAGAAATGGCAAATGGAAAGGTTGAGCGCGCTAATGATATTTACATAGGGTGTACTCTCACTCTAGACAACCATTTATTCAAAATTGACCTTATGCCGGTCACCATAAAAAGCTTCGATATAATCATTGGTATGGATTGGTTGAGCCTTCATCGTGCCGACATTCTATGTTACGAAAGGGCCGTCCGCCTCAATCTGCCGAATGGCAACATTCTCACCGTTTATGGCAATAAACCTAGTGCGAACCTACAAATCATCTCTTGTGTTAAAACCCAAAAGTACCTCCGAAAGCAATACCATGTTTTCTTAGCCCACATCGTAGACAAGAAGCAGGAGGTGAAGAACATCAAAGAAATCCCAGAAGTATGCAACTTCCCTGATGTTTTCCCAGACGATCTGCCTGGTGTACCACTCGCAAGACAAGTCGAATTTCGGATCGACTTAATCCCAGGAGCTACCCCCGTCGCCAGGGCTCCCTATCGCTTAGCACCGGCAGAAATGCAAGAACTATCCAGCCAATTGAATGAACTTTGAGCAAAGGATTCATCAGGCCAAGCTACTCACCTTGGGGAGCACCAGTCCTATTTGTAAAGAAGAAGGATGGGTCTTTTCGCATGTGCATAGACTACCGAGAACTAAACAAACTCACTATCAAGAACCGTTATCCCCTACCCCGAATCGATGACCTCTTCGACCAGCTCCAAGGAGCCAGCTACTTTTCAAAAATCGACCTGAGGTCGGGCTATCATCAACTGCGAGTTCAAGAAGAGGATATCCCCAAGACGGCATTCAGAACTCGCTATGGGCACTATGAGTTTGTAGTGATGCCCTTCGGATTAACTAACGCACCCGCAGTATTCATGGATTTGATGAATCGAGTGTGTCGACCCTTCTTGGATAAATTCGTCATCGTATTCATCGACGATATCTTGGTCTATTCGAGGAGCGAAGAAGAGCACAGACATCACCTACGACTAGTTCTGGAGGTTTTAAGGACTGAGAAGCTTTACGCTAAATTCTCAAAGTGTGAATTTTGGCTCCGAGAAGTAGGATTCCTTGGCCACGTGGTAAGCAAAGAAGGAATACATGTGGACCCCTCGAAAATCAAAGCAATCGAAGATTGGTCAACACCTACAACGCCGACAGAAATCCGACAGTTTTTAGGGCTCGCAGGCTACTATCGAAGGTTCATACAAAACTTCTCCAAAATCGCTAAGCCTCTCACCATCTTGACTCAGAAAGGAGTGGTGTTCGAATGGGAAGATAAACAAGAAGCCGCCTTCCAGACACTAAAGCAAGCCCTATGCAGTGCACCAGTCTTGTCTCTTCCAGAAGGAACTGATGATTTTGTAGTGTATTGCGATGCTTCAAGTCAAGGCCTCGGCTGTGTGCTCATGCAAAGGGGAAAAGTCATCGCTTATGCATCAAGGCAACTGAAGACACACGAAGTTAATTACACAACCCACGACCTCGAATTGGGAGCTGTGGTGTTCGCCCTGAAGATTTGGAGGCACTACCTCTACGGCACCAAGTGCACCATCTTCACTGATCACAAAAGTCTTCAACACATTCTCAATCAGAAAGAACTAAACATGCGCCAAAGAAGATGGGTGGAATTACTGAATGACTACGAATGTGAAATTCGCTACCACCCGGGCAAGGCTAATGTAGTAGCCGACGCCTTAAGCAGGAAAGAATACTCGGGTCGCCGAGTAAAATCCCTAACCATGACCATCCACTCCCAACTGGCCACCCAGATCAAGGACGCCCAATTAGAAGCCCTGAAACCAGAAAACGTGGCAAGTGAAGCACTAAGGGGGATGGATAAAAACTTGGAAGTCAAAGGAGATGGAGCTCGTTATCTCATGAATCGAATCTGGACACCGAAGTTCGGTGGGTACCGAGACGTTGTAATGGACGAGGCCCACAAGACTCGATACTCCATTCATCCGGGGTCAGATAAGATGTATCTAGACCTCAAAGGGTTATACTGGTGGCCAAACATGAAGGCTGAAATTGCTACTTATGTGGGCAAGTGCCTCACCTGCGCCAAGGTCAAGGTGGAATACCAGAAGCCATCAGGACTACTTCAACAACCGGATATACCCGAGTGGAAGTGGGAGCGAATAACCATGGACTTCGTAACCAAACTGCCCAAGACATCAGGTGGGATGGATACCATATGGGTGGTTGTGGACAGATTGACCAAGTCCGCGCACTTCCTGCCAATAAAGGAAACAGACAAGATGGAAAAGTTGACCAGGACGTACATTAAGGAGATCGTGCGACTACATGGTGTACCAACATCCATTATCTCGGATCGAGATAGTAGATTCACCTCGCGTTTCTGGCAGTCCCTACAAAAGTCTCTGGGAACCAGGTTAGACATGAGTACGGCCTACCATCCACAAACGGACGGACAAAGCGAGAGAACCATTCAGACGTTGGAAGACATGCTGAGAGCCTGTGTGATAGATTTTGGTAAGGCATGGGATACTCATCTACCGCTTATCGAATTCTCTTATAATAACAGTTATCACACTAGCATTGGAGTCGCTCCATTCGAAGCTCTCTACGGCCGCAAGTGTAGATCACCACTGTGTTGGGCCGAAGTTGGAGATACTCAGCTAGCCAGAGGGCAAGTCCCTGATAGCACCCTTACGGGGCCGGAAATCATAAGGGAAACCACAGAAAAGATCGTTCAAATTCGGGAAAGACTAAAAGCGTCTCGTGATCGACAAAAGAGTTACGCGGATAAACGACGCAAACCTTTAGAATTCCAGGTCGGAGACCGGGTACTACTAAAAGTTTCCCCCTGGAAAGGGGTGATACGTTTCGGTAAACGGGGGAAACTAAACCCAAGGTACGTTGGTCCGTTCGAAATCCTTGCTAGGATTGGTCCTGTGGCATACAAACTCCGACTACCGCAAGAACTTAGTAATGTGCACCCTATCTTCCACGTGTCCAACTTAAAGAAGTGTCTGTCTGACGAGACACTCGTAATACCACTCGAAGAAATCGAAGTTAATGAGAATCTCCACTTCGTGGAGGAACCCGTCGAGATCATGGATCGAGAGATCAAGAGAACAAAACAAAGTCGCATTCCCATAGTGAAGGTTCGTTGGAACGCGAAACGAGGGCCTGAGTTTACCTGGGAACGTGAAGATCAAATGAAACAAAAGTATCCACATCTTTTCCCAAACCCTTGAAGTCCCAGTCGAATTTAAATTTCGGGACGAAATTCCCTCTAACGGGGGGAAGATGTGACAATCGTCAATCTTGAGCCAAGTCAAGTCATCAAGTCGAGCCGGTCAACTCTATTAAACCTTGTGTATTAGGGTTAGTGTTATGTTCGTATTGTATAATTTGCTATGTTAATGGGAAAACATCACAGAAGAAAAGTTTGTGTTAAAAATTTCCTAAGCCTTCGCACCTTCGCATTATCTCGAAAACTACAATTTCATCATTTGATAACATTCCCCAATTCGCATTCTACCATGAAATACTTCGCATATTCATTCTTACACCCTTCGCATCCCTTCGCATTTATCTCGTTAAAAACTGCAATTTCATCATTTGATAACATTCCCCAATTCGCATTCTACCATGAAATACTTCGCATATTCATTCTTACACCCTTCGCATCCCTTCGCATTTATCTCGTTAAAAACTGCAATTTCATCATTTGATAACATTCCCCAATTCGCATTCTACCATGAAATACTTCGCATATTCATTCTTACACCCTTCGCATCCCTTCGCATTTATCTCGTTAAAAACTGCAATTTCATCATTTGATAACATTCCCCAATTCGCATTCTACCATGAAATACTTCGCATATTCATTCTTACACCCTTCGCATCCCTTCGCATTTATCTCGTTAAAAACTGCAATTTCATCATTTGATAACATTCCCCAATTCGCATTCTACATGAAATACTTCGCATATTCATTCTTACACCCTTCGCATCCCTTCGCATTTATCTCGTTAAAAACTGCAATTTCATCATTTGATAACATTCCCCAATTCGCATTCTACCATGAAATACTTCGCATATTCATTCTTACACCCTTCGCATCCCTTCGCATTTATCTCGTTCGCATTTTAAGCTAATTAATCGAATGCGATTCACAAAATTTTCATTCCAGATGCGAACACAGTCTAGTTCTTGAACTCTAAACTTGCGAAATCAAAAATTTATATGTTGAACCCATATGCGAATATTAACCTAATTGACTTCAAATTGACTCATAGATGCGAACACTCGATTGTTTTACTTTCGCAAAATGAGCATCAACAACTCCACAATCGAGTATTAAATTCTTACAAACAACAATTTCATAGTCCTTGACTTCGCGTCTTTCTTCGCGAATCACCCTTCAATCATCAATCCAACTTCGCATTCAAGCAGTGTTATTGATTCTCAGTCACACGCAACCACCCACACCCACTCTATGACCAGCCATACCTCCCCACCTTACCCATGTCACTTCAATGTTCCCTTACACTCAAATTACCCTCCCTCCCACGTTTTTGAACTGGAACAAACGACCACACTCCTCATTTTCCCTCATTTCTCTCATTCCACTACGTATCAAACACCACTTTTTCTCTCAAACTCTTCTACACAAATTTTCGAGATCCAAGGCTGATTTCAAGTGTTCTTCCACACTTAGTAAGTAAAAATTCATCCTCCCTATTATTATTTCACTTCATTCTACTCAAATCTTTGGTTGCTTACACAAACTCCCTAACTATGATGTTAGATTCTCGAAAACCTTCAAGGCATCTCCAAGTGTTCTTGAATTAAACACTTCCATTCTTCAACAATCATCTTCTGAAATCACTCGAGGTGAGTTCATACCCCTATATTTTCATGATTTCTCAAGTTTCTAGGGGGTGAATACAAGTTAAAACACTAAGAACATATCAAAACCTCTCTAACAGCCTTCATCAGAAAAGTTCAACTCCATTCACGGACTGTTTTGGACATCTTAAACATTTTTGTTTTCAAAACTGTACAAGGTGCAAATAGATCAAGTTTTTAGCTTTAAAATGGTTACTTGCACATCTCCATGCGATTTTTCTACAATTTATGGTGATTTTTACAAAACTGCCTATCATTTCAAACAACAATCCGGACCAGTCTGCGATTTTGGACTTTTTCAGCCAAGTTAGAGGTCATTATAAATTGTAATAAAAATTATGACCAAACTAGACCCATTTTGTGAACTCTCAGAATTTACGGATCTAGTTTTCGACTTCGTATGATTTTTCTACGATTTTTCCAAAACAGGGCAGAATTGCTAAATTTTGCCAACAGCATGTAAATATCATAACACTTTGTATTATGTTGAGCAAAGTGTATAACTACAAGTTTTAGTATTTGAATGTGTTTCGTTGTTAGTTTATCATTATGAACTGAAAATATATACATTCATATTAAATATTATTCATTCATTTTGGAACACGTAATATTAAACTATAACAAAAATAGTTTGATAAATTCATAACACTAATACTTTTCTATAAGGAATTCATACACATTACGTACATTTTAGATAAACTATAATAGGTATAGTTTATGATACATCACTCAACGCACTCGTACAAAACGGGTACATCCATACAAGAAAGATTTATATTCACACACATTTCACGTAAACTCGTTAACCTATGCTGTGAGACATTCTCTCTCCCCGTACGTCCGAGTGCGGGATATAATTCCTGGTAGTTATAATCAGAATCTCCTTGAGGGAGAACGTGATACTTGTATATAGATCTATATTGGGTTTGACACCCCACACCTCGCTGCTAGCTACAGTAGGACCTGCAGGTCTACGGGTGACAAATGTCATTTCATTTTCGCGACGCCTGAGAAACGTTGTGGCAGGTTCACATAGTCACAGTATGATTATAGCGACTCACTTAGGGGGTTAACAATTCAAGAAGTTTACGGGGTTTCATAAAAACCGAAGTAGGTTTTTGGTTGATAAAAGAAATTTACTTTCCATAACATTTTAAATCTCACAACATTTCTACTAAGAAACGATGTTTTCTCATACGCTCTAGTCTTTGGTTATATGGCTACATTTCCTGGATTTCTAGGGAAATATTGGATTTTCCTGAAACAAACGCGACATTTTCATGTGAAATATCTCCACTAAGTTTAAAAATAAAAGCTTATGAACTCACCAACCTTTGTGTTGACGCTTTTCAAACAACTTGTATTCACAGGAAAACACTAATCAAGTTATCAAGTGCTTTTGAGGATGGGACGTTAAGGCGTCAAACTTTTCACATTTTGACAACATATTGTAATTGATTTTGAAACATGTAATTCATACAAGTGATGTAACTTTTTCAATTATATATATGTTGGTTGTGTTTGCTTAAATTACTATTAAAATTGTGGTTATGATGCTATACATGAAGTCCTCCACCCCCGGACGTTTCCGCCATCCTTGGTTTGGGGGTGTGACATAAATAGGGTACAAACCCCTGAAAACTAGGGTTTTCCTTTACAGTGCCTACTCGTCGAGTTGGGGCCTTCCAACTCGTCGAGTAGATCCGAAGCCCCGCGTCCTCATAAATGATATATACTCGACGAGTTGGAGCTCCCCATCTTGTCGAGTTCCAATCCCAAATCCTAAAAAATCTGAAATTAATACGATATCTGAGACGAGCATTACACATGGCCATGCTAAAAATACATGGTCATAAGGCAAGCACCTAAGTAGTTAATAAAACAAGGGAGGTCACTACTTTTGAAATGATAAGGTTTTTGGAGCTTTCTCTTGCGATTTTTGGGAGATTTTTGAGAAGACCAAATAATTGCAAACACATTTGATTACATTTTGTAAGCATTAAACATTTTCAATTCCATCTTTCTTTTTTATTGATTTGTTATTAGCCACGTGCGGCTAAGAAACCCTGATTTTTAGTTATTGTTCAAAACATGTTGATTACTTGACTTGAAATATATTATTTGATGTTTGATTTGTGAATATATTATAGTGATTATGTTTTTATTTATAATATGACCATTGAGTTTGATTTGTGTTTGATTGGCTACTTTCATGAATTGAATTATTGTGTAGTTAATTATCTTTTAGGACATCCAATCGTTCTATTAAGTTAACAATTGACAACAAACAATAAGTTTTCTTGTTGTAAAAGATATATCACATGTTTTCACACTTCCGAGCATGTGAGAAGAAATAAATATTGTTGGGAAGTCCGTACAAACTTAATGCAATTTTTCAATAAAATCTAAGAGTGTGTTTAGGTTGAATTAGTAAACCTAGGTCTAGTCAAAGAGCATGTTTTGGTTAGATAATCTGGCAAGCGATAAGTATTAGAACGTATTAATATATTTAAGTACCAACTTAGAATAACAATCATGAATTACATCAAGTCATAATCAGGTTGAACAACAACATTGAGAAATATAGCTTACATTGTTAGGAAAGGTCTAGTAAATTATATGACGTGATTACAAATTATTGTACTTACGATAGATAAAACCAATGAAACGAAATAGGTTTTTGATTGAAGATTAAAAAGTAAGAAATATGTAGATTAGTGTATCTGATCGTACCTAAATACTAATGCGAGTATAAGGTGGATACCAATAAAATTTCCTAAAAATAGAGGACATGATAAATGGTTGTAAAACGTTGTATAGCGGAGAGACATTTTCGCCCTTTTATGGGGTCAAATGTTAAGTTATAAGTTTAGCATGTAGTATAAGAGGATACATCATTGATAATGATGTGAACGTCGGTAAGGACTCAAACAAATGTATGAAAACGATAAGGGTCGAAGGAGGATCCAGAATTATAAGGGAAGATTCGTACAACAAAATTGTGTTATTGAGTGAAAATTTAGGGGGTGTTTGGATAGGAAAAAAAGAGGTGCTTATTGCTTATTCCCACAATAAGCTAATTTAAGTGTTTGGATAAAATCCAGCTTATTAGGCTAAATAAACTAATTTTAATAAGCATCCCTCTCCATGCTTATTGCTTATTGCTTATTCCCACCACAAATAAACTATAAGCAATAAGCTAAAAATCTAATCCAAACACCCCTTTAAAGGGAATTTTTTTTATCGGACAGAAGTCACATAACAAGCGTCAAGCGGGAAACATTTTTGTTGTTTTCTCAAATAAAAAAACTAAAAAAAGAAAAAGAAAAGCTAAGCTAATTTTTTTTTGAAAAAATTGAATTTTGGTTAGGACTAAGCCAAGACTTCAAATAGGACGACGACACCTAAGCTGATAGTCTCAATCTAACCGTCAGATTGTCTTCTAATCGAACGGCACCAGCTTACGATCCATGTAGTAGAATCCTATTGGCCCATATCAAACTCTCCAAACCACTATATATACAAACTGCGACCATTCTTTCGCACAACCAAAATTCTCACAGCTCGAGATCTTTTTCGTCATCTCTCTTTTCGTTCGTGTTTCCGATAACTTTCTCCGGCGAATCTCTAAACAGCAATGGCCGGTCGAGGTAAAACAATTGGATCCGCAGCGGCAGCAAAGAAGGCCACCTCAAGAAGTAGCAAGGCCGGCCTCCAATTTCCCGTCGGTCGTATCGCTAGATTTCTCAAAGCTGGAAAGTACGCCGAGCGTGTTGGTGCCGGTGCTCCGGTATACCTTGCCGCCGTTCTAGAATACCTCGCGGCTGAGGTGATTTCCTTGATCTATTAACGACTAAATATATTGATTATTCATATGTTTTGAATCTTTAGGGTTTCGTATTACTTTTTGGGGGAATTTCTCACTGTGAAATTGATGCTTTGCAGGTGCTTGAGTTGGCTGGTAATGCAGCGAGGGACAACAAGAAAACGAGAATTGTACCGAGACACATCCAATTGGCTGTGAGGAACGATGAAGAATTAAGCAAGCTTCTTGGTGACGTTACTATTGCAAACGGTGGTGTTATGCCTAATATTCACAACCTTCTTCTTCCTAAGAAAACCGCTGGTTCTTCGAAGGCTTCTGTTGACGATGAATAGAGTGGTATCTATCAAGGTGGAAGGAAGCGGTTCAGCCTTTAATCTTTCATCTTTCGCGCACCAAAGAAAGTGTTTTGATTAGGCATTGTGTTCATACATCTCAATCTAGTGAAAATTTCTTAGCTTTTCTACTTTAATGTTGTTCCAATTAGATCATATACTATTTCTCTACGTGGTTTTTGAGATTTGGTGTTCTTGATAAGTCGATCACGATTTGCTGTTTGGGTTATACCATTTCAACGGTGCATTCTCCCTTGAAGGGTTTGGTTTATGATCTTTGATTGGATGCAAATTTGATAGTGTTTTTGAACAAATAAATTAGGGCATTTTTAGGCTATATGCACCAAATGGGATGCACTCCAGGTCATATACGATTGATATGCAATTGGCGTAACAACTCAAGAACGAGTTCTTGATCAAGAAAGTTTTGTAAATATAAAAGACATAGTTGTGCCATGTTATTGGGATTTTGTTGAAATCAAACCCCAAATGTAAGTATTGTAGATTTTGATCATGAAAGATGAAGGGTAACAACGGAGTTGATCAAAATCCAGAATTCCAGTTTCGGTATGGTTAGCTGGGAGAGGTATTAAGACTCATAATAAGCGGTGTTCGTTATGGTTTAAAAATCCAGAAATGGTTGAGCATCTTGTAACTAGTTGTGAGTTTACTCAAGGGGTGTGAGAATCGGTATTTAAATTGTACGGGTTACAACGGAAACAATTCTCCAATGTAGTTGACTCCATTGACTTCTCTGCTTCTTGGGGAAATTACCCTCTACCAAAGTGGTGGACAAATGGACAATATCATTTCTCTTTCATACATCTAACACACTCGCCACTTCGTTATTCTTTTCTTTTTTTTGTATGTGCTCTTTGTTTCTTGCCTGCGTCTTAGCCTCTTGATAAGCGTATAAGAGATTTCAAATTTTGTTTTATTAATAAGTTAGAAACGTGAACAACATAACATAAAAGGGTATCAACAAATTTGTTAATAAGCGAAGGGTATCATTTAAATTATCATAAACCAACCATACAACGTTTATAGAAAAATACATTTAGTGATTTGCATAAAAGCTTTGATATAGAAACTTTGTGATTAAAAGTATGATTATAAGGCATCCACACCAGCATCATAGCATGAATGATTAGCATAACATGAATGTCCGGTAGATCTTCAATCAACAAACAAGAACACATTGTTCTTTCATTCTGCTTAGTAATATATAATTAGTATAGTTAAATGATTTGTTTTTACGTATAATGTACAACAAATAATGTGCAACAAACACGACAATAATAAGACTTATATATACCCATGTTTATGTTCTAATGAACAATAGTAGCTCCATATCGCTCAAATTTCCAAATAATTTCTTCGTTTCAAATGAATAACCATTTATGTAAATAAATATTTGCATGTTTTGAATGGGCACACTAATTTCTTCAATTCAATTATTTAAATTGGTTTGATTTTAATTATATTTTAAATCAAATGAATAACCATCATATAAATATTTGTATGTTTTTAACGGACACAATAATATCAGTTCATGGTTGATTTTTATTTTATTTTATTTTTAATAAGTGAAATAACATTGAAAAACTAAGAGTAAATTACTGAAATCATCCTATGGTTTAGTTAAAATTGCACATTTGGTCATTAATTTTTTTTTTTGCACTCGGATCGTCCCTATGGTTTGATTTTGTTGCTTTTTTCGTCCCTATGGTTTGGTCAAAATTGCATGGTTGGTCCCTAATTTTATGTATGTAAGAGACGAAAAACGCAATAAAATCAAACCACATGGATGATCAATGTGCAAAAAACAATTTAGGGATCAAACATGCAATTTTGATCAAACCATAAGGACGATTTCAACAATTTACTCAAAAACTAACCCAACCCCCTTGTATGTTTTGACAACTAAAAAATCAATGTTGATCGAAAAGATAATGAAATTGTAATACTTATCATGATAAAATTGAAAATATACACAAGTCAAATCTTAAATTAGATCTCATACCAAAATGCTTCTAACCTAGCATTATCTGGTATTGTCTCATTTTTCAAGATCAAGAATTTAAGTTACATCTTGGACATAGATAGATTCACGAGTATATTAGATTTTATCAGATCAAAAAAAAAAAAATAGATCTTAGTGTGAGAAAACATACGTTTAACTAAGATTTATTCACTCATTTAGAACACGAATGAAATTTAGGGTGTGTTAGACAAGGATATTTTAAGAAAAACTCAAATTAAAGAAAAACTTTATTTGGAGTATGAGCTTAAAAACTTAAATTTTAAACAAAAAAACTCATAATCCAAATGATACTTCAAATAGTTTTAATCATAGAGCTTTTAATATTTAGTTTTTATGTAATTTTACGCTTATAAAAGCTTCCACCACATAGTTTGCAAACGTTTCCACTTAGTTAATTTCCTTCACAAGTTAAAGTCCTTTTTAGAGGTGCCATTTAAACTTATTCATATGAAAATAAATTAGTTATCAAGTTGTAATTTATTGATAGGGATAATGACTTAGGAGGGTAATAAGGTTTTTAGTTTGTCCGTATTAGGTCACTATGTTTTTTTTTTGTGCGTATTAGACCAATATGGTTGTTATTACCGTTTAGAAATAGTCATTTTACCGGTTTTAACGGTTAAAAATGTATATTTCTAAACGGTAATAACAACCATATTGGTCTAATACGCACAAAAAAAAACCTTAGTGACCTAATACGGACAAACTGGAAACCTTATTACCCTCCTAAGTCATTAACCCTAATTTTAAAGACATTGAGAATATATGACCATCAACAGTAAACTACTTCGTTTAGAACTCGCGTCGTCCCATATAACATGCTGCTCCTCTATATAGCGAAGCTCTTCATCTATAGTCGTCTCTTTGGGGACATCCGATAAAATTGGAACGATACAAAGAAGATTAGCATGGCCCCTGCGCAAGGATGACACACACAAATCGAGAAATGGTACAAAATATTTTTTAACCCTTCGTCGTCTTCTATGGAGCCATAATTCCCTTTTCAAATGCTAATAGAGTTCAATTGCAATTCTTACGTTTCAGTAGTTCATCTACTGAAGTCATGATCAGACAACATGTGGATTCTATGGTCAGATTGATCTTCTTGTTGATGTCTTCAACCATTTGTGGCAAGTAAGGTTGATATTTCTTTCTATAAAGTCTCCTTTAAGTTTTTTACTTTTCCTGTCATTAAGTTTCATGCTTTATAAACTTCCGTTTATGTGTTGTATATAATATGTATGTATTTGTTTATGTGCTGATTTTTTTTATTCATTTTGCAACTTCAGTTTCTTAGTTCATGTTGTGGTTTTGCTTTTTATAAAATAATTGATAATAGACATCATATACAAGTCCCAGTTGGTTTTACATTTCCATTCGTTATCAAATGTAGACATTGATGGGAGGTATCAAAGTGAGATTTTGTTTTTGTACATATGGATGTGTTCATGTAAACATTTAAATGACAAAAAAGAAATTATTGATAAAATTTTGCATATTTATATAATGAAGATCATCAATCATATGAGTTTCTGGAATTAGAAGTTCTGGAAGGGTTGTGAGATAAGTTTAAATGGAAACAATTATTTTCAGTCAAACAAATCATTCACATTGATTAGTAAGCATGTTTTCTAAATAATTAGGGTTAATGACTTAGGAGGGTAATAAGGTTTCCAGTTTGTCCGTATTAGGTCACTAAGGTTTTTTTGTGCGTATTAGACCAATATGGTTGTTATTACCGTTTAAAAATAGTCCTTTTTACCCGTTAAAACCGGTAAAATGACTATTTCTAAACGGTAATAACAACCATATTGGTCTAATACGCACAAAAAAAACCTTAGTGACCTAATACGGACAAGCTGAAAACCTTATTACCCTCCTAAGTCATTATCCTTTTATTGATAATAGGTCAAATCGGTTTAAAATTCATGTATACAAATGTTTATATAACCATGGAACCTTTTTATATATCTATAATTTTAGTAATACAATATTTTACATGTATATAATACTTTTATCATTATAAAACTAAAAAAAAACACAAAGTTGACCCCAACACAATCTGATAAATGTTATCCTGTACTTTAAAAAGACCCAATGGGTACATCACATACGATTCAAGGAGTAAAGGTCAAAAATACCCTTGTACAACTTCTTTTAGCATAACGTACAATCATTTTAAGCTTTTGGCCTCCACTAAACAATACATAAAGCCTGTTCAATACATAAAGACCCGAAAAGGCTGTGTATTGAGATTTACAACAATTTACATTCATATTTACTGCAATAAGCTTATGTTGTTCTTTACCCTAACAATTTGTACAATGACAAGTAAGTCACTAGCCTCTCCATTTCCTAACCTGAAACAAAGAAACATAATAATAATAATAATAATAATAATAATAATAATAATAATAATAATAATAATAATAAGGGCAAATTGTAGGAAATCGCAACATACTTTATGTTTTTATTGATATAAGAAATTTATTTTTTAATGTACTTGCATTTCTCATTGCTCATATTAATAATTTGAAAAATAGAAACATTATGTACCTGTTTCGTTTTCTTTGCTACACCCAATGAAGATCCATCATGGAGAAGAAAAAAATTAAACATTTGCCAATGATCAAGTTCCTTTTCTATGCAAAATGGCATGGTTAGCTAGCTTCAATTAGGTGTTTGAAGTTTGAACTCTCTTGCCATGTATCTTTTGTATCAATATCAGCTTGTTTTTATGTTCCAACTACAGCCACATGATAAAGCAATATCAGAAACATGGCAACTTTAATTTAATCTTTCTTAATGCTTATACAATAGGATTTTGTGTTCTTGAGAAATATGGGATTCTTATGATTATTGTCTATGTTGGAAAAAAGAATATACCTGGTATATAGACAAAGAATATGAATTAGTCCTCATCTGAAGTTGAGTTCTCGTCTGAATCAAAAGTATCCACCCGTCTCAATGCAATGGCAGGAATAAGTCGTTCTTTTGGAACATAAAAACCGGATTGGAGGAGTTCTGAAGGTGGAAAGTCATCTTTCTTTTGAGTCTCAGGTTGCAAATCATTTGTTTCTTGTGTCTCATTTTGCAAATCATTTGTTTCTTGTGTCTCATTTTGCAAATCTTCATCTTCTAGTGTCTTAGGTTGCATGTGCTCATTCTCCTGTGGCGTAGGTTCCATGTCATCATCTTCTAGTGTATTAAGTTGTGAATTATCAAGTTCCTGTATCTTATCCTCAAAATCTTCATCTTCCCATGTAGTATTAGATTGTAAATCATCATCATCATCATCATCATCATCATGTGTCTTATGTTGTGAATCATCAAGTTCCTGTCTCTTAACCTCCAAATCTTCATCTTCCCGTGTAGTAGGTTGTAAAGCATCATCATCATCATCATCATCATCATCACTAGAATCACCATCATGCGTTTTATGTTGTGAATCATCACGTTCCAATGTTTCATGTCCTAAATCATCACTTTCCTCGATCTTATATGGTGATTTTATTTCCTGTGTTTCATGAAGTAAATCATTATTTTCCTCTATTTCGCATGGTGGATCCTCACTTTCCTGTGTCTCATGTTCTTGATCTTCATTTTTCCAAGAATCTTGGAGATCATCAACTTCTTGTGGATCCTCATTTTCCTGTTTCTCATGTCCCAGATCCTCATTTCTCCAAGAATCTTGGAGATCATCAACTTCTTGTGGACCCTCGCTTTCATGTTTCTCATGTCCAACACTATCATCACTC